GGCTGAATTACAATATCAAAAAGTAATATAGGCTTTCAGATGAATGTGCTTCTAAGAGGATTGAAAAAAATAGTTATGCTTTTATTGGAATTTGGTAGGTGTCATTTACAGTGAAAATAACAGAAAACTCCTTAACAAATTATTTTACAAAAACATTCTTTGGTATTATTTTTAAAGCTCTGCTAGTAAGCATATTATTGATGAAAGCATGATTTCTAAAATGTATAAATATAATAGTAGTACATGGATGTAAGTTTTCTATTGCTTCATTGTCCATTTGTAATAATATTAACAAATATTATCTTTAATATTTTATGCTTTTTAATGATTTTCTTCCCTGGCTCGCAATACATGTTGTTTGCTAAAACAGTTATATGAAAATATTAATTGCATTTAGATATTAAAAGCCATATGGTATGCAGTTTTCAAAATTGAATTGTTAATATTTTTTCCCAAATTATGACCCTAATGGGATTTTGGACCTACAAACCATTGCTTTTTATATTTTAATACTTTCCAGTCATTTTTTAAAGAAACATAGTTTGACAATATTCAGCCTACTCCTTTAAATTTAAATTACTTTTTAAATAGTTCCCTAAGCAAAAAAAAATTCTTATGCAATGTTTTATAATGTTTTGAAATCTAGTAAAAACTGAGGCAAGATGGCTATTACATATATTTTATTTTATCTGATAGTACTGTTTATGTCAATTCAAATAAATTTAATGTACAACTATGTACAAATAAGTTTCCTTGAAATCAATACTTCTTCTCTTTTATGCAATGGTTTTTCAAAACAGAGGTTTTTGACTAGAAATTCCAAGGCTCATGACTTTGGAAAAAAATTAGTCAGACAAATGACCTTTTTTTTTAAAAAAATAACATAATTTCCTGGTAGCTTTTTAATTACACATAGTTGCTATCCAAATAAATAAATAATGGTTATCTTTGTTCTCATAAGAGTGACTATCTCATACACAGATACACAAAATCGGGAATATGTGATTAGGAAGAATAGACGGAGCTATGCTAGGAAAAACAGTTCAGTTGTATACTTCAGAGTACAATACCCATTCAAGTCTACCTGTAAATCTTCCAAGGACCAGCCTAGGATACCAAAGTTACATATGCTATGCTTTATTTTATAGGTTTATAGTAGCAGAAACTTGCAATTCTGAATTTTCTATGCCTACTTACTTTTTTCCATCTTCTGAGAACTAGAGATAATCTTGACCAGGATGCTTACTCCAGTTACAGTTTTTCCTGGGACTAAGATTTCCTTTCTTTCCTACCAAAAATATACAGTAACATATATCTTTACATCTTCTTTTTTAAAGTTTCCCATTACAAAGATAATAATAATAATAAGAATAACAACAACAACAACAACAACAACAACAATAATAATAATAATAATAATAATAATAATAATAATAATAATAATAATAATAAAGTTGGAAGGAACCTTGGAGGTCAGCAAGTCGAACCCCTGCTCAGGCAGGTAACCCTATACCATTTCGGACAAATGGCTGTCCAGTTTCTTCTTAAAAACTTCCAGTGTTGGAGCATACACTGCTTGTGGAGGCAGGTTGTTCCACTGGCTAATTGTTCTAACTGTCAGGAAGTTTCTCCTTTGTTCTAGGTTGCTTCTCTCTTTGGTTAGTTTCCAGCCATTGCTTCTTGTCCTGCCTTCAGGTGCTTTGGAAAATAGCTTGACTCTCTCTTCTGAGATATTGGAACATTGCTATCATGTCCCCCCTCATCCTTCTCTTCATTAAACTAGACATACCCAATTCCAGCAACCGTTCCTTATATATTTTAGCCTCCAGTCCCCTAATCATCTTTGTTGCTCTTCTCTGTACTCTTTCTAGAGTCTCAATATCTTTTTTACATTATGATGACCAAAACTGGATGCAGTATTCCAAGTGTGGCCTTACCAAGGCATTTTTTTGTAAGAATTTTTTGTAATTTGATATTTTTTAAGAATTTTCTTAAATTCATATTTTAATTCAAGACTTTTAATATTTATGTTTTTAAATATACATTTTCTTGCATGCATTTATAAATTTAAAAACTAAGAAAAAATTCAGGAAAAAAATATGAAAGACAAACTTATTTTAGTCGTGTATATGGTTGTGTACATATGGCCAAAGCCAGTGCTGGTTTTGGAAAGCTTTTTCTGGATTGTCTATTATTGTTATCTCAATTTACTATTGTTTATTTTATACCCAATATAATTATCTCATTTATTCTTAAAAGAATGTAAAGGAAAATGTAAAGACTTTTTCTGTTGCTTCTTTATTTGCGCACTTGCTGCTGCACATTATCAATCCATGATTGTAAAGTTAGTGATATTTTACCATTTTAGATGTTATATTTTTCTTTATTCACAAGGTACAACATTAATAACAATAGATAATAGAATTCAAACTGCCATATTGTAAAGAAGCTCTACAGATGACCAACCTTGTTCTAGGCTGCTGAGCTATAATTAAAAACTGTAAAACAAATATGTGTTTAAAAAAAGACTAAAGTATTAAGCATCGAAAACATGCTTAATAATTTCATATGACTTAATTAGTCCATTCAACCATGAATAACTGAATTTGATGTAATATCTAAATTCATAAAATTAAATAAAATGAAATTGGTTCCTTGATTTCCTGACAAATTAAGCTATATTATTTCTTTTAACAGATAATTAAGTACTCTGCCCTATGAAACAGGTTCCCCCCCACTACAAACAACCTATCTTGCTTTAAGATTAATGCAAATTCACATTTGTGAATAATAATAATTATCCAAAAACAGTAAATATTTCCACATTTCATGTTGAGATAAATCTACTCAACATCAGACTGTCTAAAAAGTCACTTGCTGATAGATATAATAATTTCTAATTCTGAAATCCCTTACAGTCTCTTCTAAAACTAAATTAAAACTAAATATTACAATTAATTTAAGCAAAAAAAATAATTTCATAATATGCTGCTTTTATTTTCTAAGTACCCTTATGAATGTGTGCCACAACCTATTTCATAGTGGAAGACAATCACTTCTCTATATCTCAATATACTATTTTTTTTTAAACAGGGAACAACATATAAGCTTAGTATTAGTAGTTTAGTATTCTTTTTCAAGTGTATTATGTAAGGTTCTGTCAAATTTTGTGGCTGTAGCTATTCTTCCCCCAATTGCTTAGAATTTGAACTAACATTTTCAGTTTATTACCATGAACCTGAACGATAAATATATTAAAATCATTGTGAAAAATAACAGCAGAATATCATCTGGGAGTAATTTACTCCTGGATTAATAACATACATGAAAAAAATTGTAAGCATGGGGATACATATTCCATATTTGTTATTTTAAATATTAATCTCACAGAATTATAATTAGTCTGTACCACATACATGAAACATAAACATAATGAATGAACTACTAAGCTTCCAATTTCTACATGTGTTTGTTTTTGTAGGTCTTATACAACATCTCCATTGTTATGGCAATCTTGACTATTTTTGTATAGGTCAGATAAACCGATTCCTGTTTAAGTTTTAATGAGAATTTGTCATGTTATTGTTCACATTTTTTCACAATGTTCTGATAATACTGTCCTGTTGGCGTTCCAAAGAATCATGTCCCCAGCTTTATCAAATATCCTTATGTCATACTTTCCAACCCGTATCTCCTTTGTTGATTCATTCTGGCTTCTGTTTTCACTATGGTCTGGTTTCTATGATTTTAAAGCCTCACTGTATTCCCTTTAAAAGTTTCTATTCTTTCTCCATAACATACTAGAATGGCTACTGTGAACAGATCATTTTTGCTCTAAGTAAAGCAAGAACATATTATGTCATTCTAATATCATGTCCAAAACTGAAAATATTTGGTGAATATTTGGTGGGCATATATAAATATGACATTATCTGTAGTGGAATATTTAGTTCCATGTGCTGTTACATAGTTTGCAAGTGTGGAAGAATAAAAATTAGAATTTATCTGCTTAAGGAAGAACAAAGTCCACCCTTCACAATGATAACTTTTAAGGCTACTAATAGGTAGTACGCCATTTCAATTGTGCTAGATATATCTTAATAAAAATGTGATGTGTTTTTTTTAAAAAACTGTACATTAAAATAACCTGATTTCCTGGGAAAATAATAATAGATTTTTTTTACAGGAAAATCCCTAATTCTCATTGACCTTAAACCAAAGAATTTGAGGAAAATGTAATACAAACTTCAGAAACTACATTATTCCTACTAGTGTAAAAATTGTTGATAATAAAAATAACTTTGTATTCCTTGAAAGCTATTATAGTATAAATTGGATCAATGTCGTCTCATTTTTAGTGTATCAAATTATGTGATATTGTCTATAACACATAAAGCTAGATGAATATTATGTATGCCTATATTTTAAAATTAATACTGAATTCAAATAATTGCTTATAATAAAGCCATCTTGTTTACAAAACATTTTTTAAAGAAATCATTTTCAATAATTTAAATAGATACCATATTTTCCCTAAAAACATTTGTTCTAATATATTTTGCTGGGAACATTTAGCATGCACAGAAATGTTACAGATCTTTCATTTACTTTGCTTGCTTAAAGTCTAAAATTCCCCTTAATGAAACTTCGTTAAGTTATTGCAGAGCTGAAATGTTTTGATAGGTATATTTCATATTGTTAGATCAGAATAAAACTTGGGATATTATATACAGATAACAGTGCTATCTGCTTATAGTGGTTTAGAACAGTATAAGTGATATGCCTAATATGACTTTAATGTGACATGAACATAGCCATACTAATTTTATGGCTGTAAAGCTTTAAGTTCAATAAAAGTGTCATGAAGATTAATTTTTAGTGGAATTATGTCATTTCATATAATAAATTATCTTCTAGAAATGTGTCTGTATTAGAATAATGATGACAGCATTCCAGGTGAAAAATTAAACTTGGTATAATTTTCTTTTCTATTCCAAAAGCAGATATGATATCAAAGATGATTACACCTTGCGCATTAAAAAGGCTATGAGCTCAGATGAAGGAACATATACATGCATAGCTGAAAACAGAGTTGGAAAAATTGAGACATCTGCAACTCTTATAGTTCGAGGTGAGTACTGAACTATTAAAAACACTACATATAACATATTCGGACACATTATTTGGTGACTGAAGATTATCTCTTAGAATACAGGATACAGGATACAGTTGTATTTAAATAACCAACCCTGCTTGTTGCTTATTTTGATCACTGATAGTAGCTGTCAAGGATATCATGCAGAAAAGCTTTTTTGACTTTGATACACTTCCTAACGATTAAAAAGAGATTCTGATGTTGTTACATTTATTATAGCAAGAGAAAGTTCTTAATACTCATGAAACCTTTTTTGTTACTTAATCCCAAAAGACAATAAAAAGGGCTTTATATTTTTATAAGCATTGTATAATTGGAAATCTTATCAATAAGAACATTGAAGAAAATATTCACAATTTCACATTTAAAGAAACAGTAGAAAATATGGCTGAAATCATATATCTCCTTATCTAAATGAAGTTCAGTACTATCATGAAAAAAATAAGGATAGAAATATGAAAAATAGTTTATAGTTCTATTCCTTACAGCTGACCATGCAGCAACAGATGACTATAAAGCAGCAGTCATCAAGAAGTATGAGTTTTATTATTCACAGTAAATTTAATATATGAGACCAATAGAATATATAAAGAATCAAGACAGAATTACATGTATATATGAGGAAGGAGGAAAATGTGCGAAAATGAGACTGCTATACTATACATATATCATCATCATCATCATCATTATTTTAGCCATTGTCTATCCACTGTAGAGTGAAGGCCTCTTCCACATGTTTCCAATCTATATGGTCCTGAACTTTCTTTTGCCAATTGGGCCTGCGATACTTGCTGATGTCATCGATCCATCTTCTTTTAGGTCTCTTTCTTGAATGCTTGTTATCAAGTGGATCTATGACTGTTTTGGTCCATCTGCCATAGTTCGTCTTGCTACATGACCAGCCCATTTCCATTTCAATTCTTTTACTCTCAATGATATTGTATACTTTTGTTTGTTCTCTAATCCATCTACAGGTCTTTCTATCTTGTTTTGTGATGCCAAGCATGTATCTTTCAGTGGCTCTTTGTGCCATTTTTGTATCAATTGTGAGGTTAGCGTCCATGTTTCACTGGCGAACGTTAGAGCAGGTAGCACACACTGATTGAAAACTTTTCTCTTCGGACCTAGGGGGAGGTTGTTCTTGAAAATTATGGTTAGCTTGCCTAATGCCTGCCAACCACATTCAACATGCCATTTAATTTCCTTTGTGTATCACCTTCCATTGAGATCCATTGACCAAGGTATATGTAGTGGTCTACTATGGCTAGTTCTTCTCCTGATACATTTTTTTTCTTTCTTTGGTGAGTTTATTAAAGATAACGAGGCTCTTTTTCAGATTTATTTTTAAGCTAAATGATTCTCCTGAAGCTCTTGTCTTTGTCTTTGTAGCTCTTTTGGGTCTTGGGAGAAGAGGACATCATCATCTGCAAATCTTAAGTGATTTAAATAGATGCCATTGATTTTTATTCCATCTTTTGTCCAGTCTAGTTTATGAAATACTTCAAGGCAGGCTAAGAAAAGGATAGGTAATATTGTATTACCTTGTCATACATCTTGTTCTCTGTTGATTTCCACTTTAAGATCATTAAAGCAAATTATCACCATTGTTTTTTCATATATTGATTGTAGTACGTTTATGTAACCAGTGTCTATGCCTTAGTTGAGCAATGCATTAATTATTGCTTGCTTCTTTAAATCATCTTGGTCCTCTTTCTTGTGTATAAGCATTTCCCCATACATCAGGTATTTTCCCCCCTCTGAGGCATGTCTAGTATAGTTTTGCTAGTATCTTGTGTAAACTGTGACCACCAGCTTTCAGCATTTCAACCATAATTCAATCATTACCTATATGTATGTGTGTGTGTGTATGTGTACACAGACAGACACACACAGACACAGACACAGACACAGACACACACACACACACACACACACACACACACACACACATATATATATATATATATATATATATATATATATATATATATATATACACACATACACATAAGTCTTGGTGTATTCGGGTCTTTTCCTGTGTAAGGTTGAGAGTATCTTGGCGATGTTTCGACAAGGTCCCACTTATCATCTTCAGGCTGGGGTCTTCGGCTTCGTGCTTTGCTTGCACAAGCATGAAGCTGAAGACCCCAGCCTGAAGATGGCGAGTGGGACCTCGTTGAAACATCGCCAAGGTACTCTCAACCTTACATGGGAAAAGACCCGAATACACCAAGACCTGCATACCTATACCCATGAAAATCTACAAAAACAAACATACATACATACATATATATATATATATGTTTCTACTATCTACTTCAGGGATTTCCGGTTCTCTCCCAACACTGCCATCAATCTCATTGGGGTTCCAGTTGTTTCTTCGCACCCCCTTTAACTATGGATCAATGCTTTCCCTCTGTTCTATGCTCTCTTTTCTCTTCTCCTTACTCCTACGAGTAGGATTTGTACAGGCATTATATGCTCGGGTGCCCATACTCCCATCCCCCACTCTGGCGTTCCCTATGTCCACCGTCTTCTGCTGTTCTATCTGTTAGATAGGAACAGTGGTTACCAACAGATAGAATAGCAGAAGACGCTGGATATAGGGAACACCAGAGTGGGGGATGGGAGTATGGGCACCCGAGCATATAATGCCTGTACAAATCCTACTCGTAGGAGTAAGGAGAAGAGAAAAGAGAGCATAGAACAGAGGGAAAGCATCGATCCATAGTTAAAGGGGGTGCGAAGAAACAACTGGAACCCCAATGAGATTGATGGCAGTGTTGGGAGAGAACCGGAAACCCCTGAAGTAGATAGTAGAAAGAAGAATGATGTGGGATTTAATATCATTAGGAGGAAGGAGGAGGAAGGGGTGTTAACAAATTTGATTGTTAGCAATGAAACAGTAGGAGGGGTGATCTGGAAGAATGACAGAAGGAAACGCAATGGGAGTAACAAAGAAACATCTGGAATACAAATTGACCGGCCAGGGCCGGTGACGCGGTCCAGGAGCCGGGTGCAAATGTCAGCCAAACCTATTTAAGTCATCATTGTTAAACTGGCTTTTAGGGCTGACGATGTTGGGAGTTCCCAATGAAAGCTTGGTGGTTTTAGTAAAGTATTTTTATACTTAAATTCTCCTGGTGGTCGTACCCTATTTATTTATATATATATATATATATATATATATATATATATATATATATATATATATATATATATATATGTAGGTCTTTGGTTGTTCGGGTTTTCTCCCGCGTAAAATTGGAAGTGTCTTGGCGACGTTTCGACGAAGTCCCATTCGTCATCTTCAGGCTGGTGCTTTCAGCTTCGTGCTTCGAGCAGCAATGTGTGGTCTTAGCTGTTTCTTCCTTTTAACTGCCAGTGGGGGTATGAACTGATTGGGTGGGAGCTTGGCTGTGTTCTGATTGGGTGGAGGTGTGTTCTGATTGGTTAGGGGCGTGGCTGTGCTCTGATTGGCTGGGGGGGGTTGGCTGTGCTCTGATTGGCTGGGGGGTTGGCTGTGCTCTGATTGGCTGGGGGAGTGTTCTGTTTGGTTGTGCTCAGGTTAGTCTGAGTTGCAGAGGGGTTTAAGATTTTGGGCTGCCTTGCTATTTTTTGGCTTCGCGTTTGTGGTCGTGCCTCATTTCATGGAGGGTGTCAGTTTGCTTCATGTATGGATTGGAGGGCTTTAAAGTGGCTAATGATGCAGCTGTGGTCTGGCTTCTGGTTTGTGGTCGTGCCTCATCATCGGTGTGGCTTTGGGTTTGCTTTTTGCGTGGATGTGTGGTGGTGACATCCTGTGTGGTTTTTGTGAGTGTGGATCTGGTATCATTTTTTGTATTAGGGAGTCGTTTGGCAAACAAAACTTACAGCCCAGCGACCTACTAGTGAGCTTCGATGTCATATCCCTCTTCACCCAAGTGTCTATCAAAGAAGCCTTGACAGCTATTCAAAACAAATATAACCCCCCCCCAAACACATTTTAGATCTGACCAACCACTGCCTATCCAACACATACTTCATCTATAATGGACAAAAATACAAACAAACAGAAGGAGCACCCATGGAATCACCCCTCTCACCTGTCATTGCAAACCTCTACATGGAACACTTTGAAACCCAAGCTCTAGAAAAATCGGATCACAAACCCAAACTCTGGCTCAGATACGTAGACGACACCTTCATAATCTGGCCACATGGGAAAGAAAAACTGGACAACTTCCTCACACACCTCAACAGCCTACACCCCAAAATACAGTTCACCATGGAAACAGAAGCTAACAACCAACTTCCCTTCCTGGATGTCTTAGTCTACAAGAAATCCAATGGCTCCCTAGGACACACCATCTACCAGAAGAAAACACACACAAACCGCTATCTGCACGCTCTCTCACACCACCACCCAGCACAGATCAACTCTGTAGCCAAGACACTCATCTCCAGAACAAAACGCTTAGCTGACGAACAACACCTAAAAACCGAACTACACACTCTCACCAATGTACTAACATCCAATGGATTCCATAGAAATAAGATTACAAACCTAATCCAAAAAGAAACCCCCACTAAAATCCAAGACAAAGAACAAGAAAACGGCAAAGCCCTCCTCCCATACATAAAAGGCACCACAGACAGAATCAGTAAGATCCTCCATAAACACAACATCAAAACAGCATTCTGCACAAACAGAAAAATATCCACCATCCTTAGAAACCCCAAAGATAAAATTGAATTAGAAAATCAAGGAGTATACGAAATCCCATGCACCACTTGTCCCACCACATACATCGGACAAACCAACAGAAGAATAAGTGCACGCATTGAAGAACATAAGAACTCAGTCAAAAAAGAGGAACCAACATCTTCCCTGGTCCAACACCTTAAAGCCACAGGACATGAAATTGACTTTAAAAATACCAGAACCATTGCCAAAAGTGAACATTTTAATAACAGAATAATCAGAGAAGCCATCGAGATAGAAAAACGCCCACACAGCATGAACAAGCGAGATGATACCTCCCGCCTACCAGCCATTTGGAAACCCGCCCTTATTGACAAACGACTCCCTAATACAAAAAATGATACCAGACCCACACTCACAAAAACCACACAGGATGTCACCACCACACATCCACGCAAAAAGCAAACCCAAAGCCACACCGATGATGAGGCACGACCACAAACCAGAAGCCAGACCAGAGCTGCATCATTAGCCACTTTAAAGCCCTCCAATCCATACATGAAGCAAACTGACACCCTCCATGAAAATGAGGCACGACCACAAACGCGAAGCCAAAAAATAGCAAGGCAGCCCAAAATCTTAAACCCCTCTGCAACTCAGACTAACCTGAGCACAACCAAACAGAACACTCCCCCAGCCAATCAGAGCACAGCCAACCCCCAGCCAATCAGAGCACAGCCAACCCCCCAGCCAATCAGAGCACAGCCAAGCCCCTAACCAATCAGAACACACCTCCACCCAATCAGAACACAGCCAAGCTCCCACCCAATCAGTTCATACCCCCACTGGCAGTTAAAAGGAAGAAACAGCTAAGACCACACATTGCTGCTCGAAGCACGAAGCTGAAAACACCAGCCTGAAGATGACGAATGGGACTTCGTCGAAACGTCGCCAAGACACTTCCAATTTTACGCGGGAGAAAACCCAAAGAACAACGCGAAAAAGATATATATATATATATATATATATATATATATATATATATATATATATATATATATATATAATATATATATATATATCCAAAATAAAATGAACACTAAGGTATTAATTAAAACTATAAAAGTTTAATTTAAAAACGCCAAGCTTTCGCCGTCACCTGCCGGCATCATCAGGGCTGGGCCGCCAGGGTGAGAGAGTCATTTCTATAGGCAAGCCAAAGTCTGCACTCGGCTCCTCGATCTCGAGAGTCATTTCTATAGGCAGACTTCGGCTTGCCTATAGAAATGACTCTCTCACCCTGGCGGCCCAGCCCTGATGATGCCGGCAGGTGACGGCGAAAGCTTGGCGTTTTTAAATTAAACTTTTATAGTTTTAATTAATACCTTGGTGTTCATTTTATTTTGGATATGAATATTCCCAGGGTTCATATTTTTAGCGTTATTAACTATATATATATATATATATATATATATATATATATATATATATATATATATATATATATATATGATACACACACACACACACACATATACATACATATACATACACACAAACATACATACATATACACACAGATTAGGTATGGGAATGTAGATATTTTTTGATATAGAAGAGGAAGTAGAGAATATCAAGGTATATACATAAGGGAGGGCCAATAGACAGTATATTGTATAAATGATTGAATTGGTTGCCATTTTCTTCTAAATACTTGTTTTTTATGATGTGTGACTTTTGAAAATTCCTAAGTACAGTAACTTTTTTCTGGAAAAAAATTAACAAAATATCTGTTGTGATTGGCCTATGGATCCTGATTTGTGGTCCACCATGTATAAAACAAGGTTGATTTACAATTTATGTGTATGAAAGACAGAGAAAGTTTATTTTTAAGAGATACTGAGGAACAAAAGACTTATGTAGATTTCATTATATATTTTCACTATAAAATACCTATAAATCATATAAATATTAACAATACATCTTGCATTCAGATCAGATTCTTTTTAGAGAATATGTTAGTCTGCTGAAATTCTATTCATTCTCCGTTTGGTGTGTATTTTTCTCATTTCCAGCTGTGAACTTCATTGATAATGAATGCAGCTGGAGGTCATTTTATAAATGGGTATACACACACACAAACATAAAAATAGAGGTATAAATAATAATGGATTTCACATAGACACTGTTTCACTTTTTAGCAGCATGTGCTAAAGATTCACTAGAACTGCAAAAATTGCTTCATAAGTGGTTTTTATCTCTCTTAATAAAGATACCTATATTTTAGTACTTGTTGGTTTTCTAACCTAATTACTGTGGTCAATCTAACTCTCTGAAAAGTAGTTATGTTGTACAGTTCACTCCAAAATAAAAGCAAAAATAATAAGGTAGAATTTATATAAATAATTCTAAATTATTTTAAGTCTAATCCAAATAAGATATAGTGATTAATTCTTAAGTAACACTATTCCTTAAATCAAAGATTACAAATCATGGTAATTGAAATGAAAACGATTGCAGGTTTTTTTAATGTGTGTTTTGACTGCTCACCTTTTTATATATATTTTATTTAAAGTAAAAGAATTACTGGTATAGGAATATAATTGTGAAAAATCTTTTGGCAGTATCCAATTTTCTGAACATAAAAGTTTTTGTTTTTTGGCAAGCAATTAAATAATGAAGTTGAAATCCAAATTCGGATCCTTCTTCTTTCTCATAATTCACCAGACATTGTTAGTAAAAGTAATTTAGAAGATTTGTTTCATGTTCCAAATGGAATTTATCTTAAAAATCAAAACTTGAGAAATTTCCAGTGTTGAATTGCTCAGTTTTAAAATCCTTTTTTACTTTGTATGGTGCCTTCCTTAACAATTACAGAGCTTTTATTGTTTTTGAATTGTAGTAATATTAAATCATGCCTTATATCATTGAAACTGCCAGATTATGAATATTTCTTTTGAACTTAAGCTAGTTTACTTCATAGAAAACATGCACTGCGTAAAACCTTATTAGAAATTCAATAATTTTATTAATATAACAGATAACATTAATCTCTAAAGTATTGAGCATCTTTGAGTTGTTTATGTCTTCTTCCATGAACTATTTGAATTAAACAGACTTAATTATACAAGCTCTGAGTTACTTCAAATAAAACCATGCCGTGCATAACTTTTGCCAGACAATTCTGTTACGACAACTGAAGTGTTATTAGATGTACACAAACTCAGTTGTGCTTGGCAATAGTATACTTTGTATTATATTATTTTTTTCAAATTCCTTTGACATAGAAAGATACTAGAGAACATTATTCTTTAGAAATATATACATAAAATAATAGTAAAGTTAACTGATTTTAAATGCTGTTGGTTTGTCAATGTCCTAATTTAATTATAAATGTGTAATAACATCTCTTCTTCTAAAAGTGGCAAGTCAGTCAATAGATATTCATATTAGGAGTTTGAAAGTAATTATGGTTATATCATGTCAAAATATATTAAATTCCATTTCTTGTACTTTCAGACTACAATATTATAACTGAAAGTGGTGTTTTATTGTGTAAATCATAGAGAAAAAAAATAAGATAATCAAAATGAGCGATCTAGAATTTGCTTTGTGTAAAAACAGGAAGCTACACTTCTCAAAGAAACTTACAAGTTTATTTTGTGAAGTTTGACTAATGCAACTGAATAATTAATGTAATAATTAAGTATTTAACAATATTGTGTGATTCATTCTTTAACTTCTTTGTTTCTTCTATAAAATAATTCATGCAGACCTAAGCTTGTCCTTCAATCAAGTAAGAGCTGATGTATAAGCCAAACACTTTTAATGTGACAATCTAATGCCATGATAGACTTTTGCATTCTGAAGACACTCAAAGTTAACACATTTTTTTAAAAAAATATCCCATTAATCAGTTCCATTTAAAAAAAAAAGTCTTACCCAACTGCATTTTCTGACATTCTGCATTAAAATCTCTTTGGCCATTCAAAATTGTTTGTTAGAATTTTATCATCTCAATCCATGAATGTGGAAAAATGCATTTTTTATTTGTTACTAAAATATTATGCCTACACATGCATATCACCACAAACTTTCAGCTTTCTCCAAGCTTACTCAAATCCTGGCTAGATGTGGTTAAGCTCCATTGGTATTTAAATCAAATAATGACACTATTTTTTCTTTTAATTGGGTTAATAGTTTCCAGTATGTGAGTTTGGATTAAATAAAATAAGTTCTACAGATTTAGCTATTTTTCTTTAAATATTTGAAATGAAATTTAATAGTGTCATATGAACCTAACAAAAGTAATCAGATCACTAATTCTATATAATCAAATTCTATATATGTATTTCTCAATGCAGTTTTAAAATCATAAATAGTAGAAGGGAATTATTCATTGTGATTGCTATATATGAATAATGTTCAGCTAATTATCCACATATAGCATAGCATTACACATCATGCATTCTGACAAATTCTTTTTTTTTTTTTTTTAATTTTGTTATGTTGTCACCACACCATTATAATATCTCCAGTTCGTCCTGTTGGTAAGTAGCCATCCTTCTATCCATTTTAGTATATTTCATATAATTCTCCATCTTTCATTTGTTATCATTTAGATGTGTTTTAAAATAATTATTAATTACTAAATATCTGATAGAGAAGGAAAGAATTATTATTTACTTGTTTTCAAAGTTATTATACAATAAAAATAGAATAATGCAGGGACCTTAATAATTTGATGACATTTCTGAATCTGAATCAGATTGCATAATAGAATTAATGAATACATTTGATTTGTACAATTTAATTTGTGCCATCACTGAAATAAATAAAATTATACTTTTTAATGGTATCAGTAGTAATGTACTGGTAAAAGTAGATTTATATTTTTGGTGCTGTATTTTTTGAAAACATACAAAAGTAATGCTTTATCTGAAATGAGTTTGTTTCCAATATTAAAGAAATATTTACGCAGAACATTTAAAAACTATTATCCATGTCATTTTTATTTGCATTAGAAATGCCAGTCATTTTTTGTGTTCAGTATGCTCAGTATGATATTCAACAGAATATTGATGCAATGTTCTGTGAAATGACATTTCTAGAGATTGTTTTTTCAGTGCCATTGTTAAATAACAATACTAATATTGAGAGGTTATAAAAATTTTGATATCATTACCATTATTTTATAGGGTTTCAACTGAAATAAAAGAAGCATTTTTCTAATGTGTCAAATATGTAAGTGTCTTTTGGCTGTATGTGATATGAAATACAGGGTAGATATAGTTTTAGAAGTTTTCATTCTGTCTGAGAGGAAAAGAAAAGATCCAGACTTAATTACTGGTTGTTGTATTGTTTACATTTTCCAAAATCAGACATGAAAATTCAATTTTAAATCGTTAAATTATTGGTAGAAATTATTAAATTATCCCTGCTTCTCAATTAAAACAAATCATTTCTATTATATGGTACTGAGTTTACATATTCAGAATCAAACGGTGTTCTGCCTGACATTGATTGGAATTGTAATAGATTATTGTTAATCTATTTAATAATTAACATCTGATCTCTATTAGCAAAAACATAAATGATAACTATTTTCCTTATTTCTGAGATATCTTTTTTAAATTTAAGCATTTAGATTATCTTCTATAGGAGTTTACATTAGATGAATTCTGGAAATAATGCATTCATTTCTTTTCCCTCCATTGTTGTCTATTATTGTTCTCATCAGTTGTTCAGATAGACAAATTGATATCTTCATACATAGAAATATTATTGCACTGTTTCAACCTGGTTTGTTTGTCCCAAACACAGTAGCAGTGTGTTTCAATTATACACTCACACACATTTGGTAAAGAAATTAACAGTTTACTCAAATTCAAGGAGATATCAGCAGACAACAAATGTAAATCAAAACAGCCTCTGAAAGAGCTTTCCCAGGGTGTTTTTTCTTTTAACAGGAACATGCAGAATCCAGTAAAGAAATCCAGATCAGAGTGGTCAGCAAGTCCAGATCAAAATTTCATAAACAAAATCCAAATGAACATTATACAGCAGCCAGAGACCGAACAATTTCAGTGAAGGATGATGGCTCAGGGTTGCGTCTTAAATGAGGTTGCAGTCTTTAAATAAGGGATTTATTCTATATACTTAGACTAAGCACAAGAGCTGTGACAGTCTCCCCCTCCCCACAGTCTCCTCCAATCTCAATTGAGGGTTCAGGCTTTTCTGGGTATCATCAATGGAACTGAAATACCAAGTGTGGTACGTCCTCCCAGGAACATTCCTTTCCACCATTTCCCTTCCAGACCATCAAGTACTGTAATCAGTGTTGATATCAATGGGAGTCCAAAATATGTGCCATATAATACTCAGGTTCACCATCTACCATAACACATGATGGAAGCTGAACATCTGGATGATGAATATTTGCTGCAGCATTGGGAATCAATACTGATCTATGGAAGACTGGGTGCATTTTGATGATTACAGGTGATAAGCCTTTACTTCAATGGGAAAAAGAACTGGGAACTGGACATCTAGTTTTTTTGGATCTGCCCTAACAAATGTCAGGTGGAAATTCACACAAAGTCTGCAAATGACAAGGTGACTCTAGATTGTTGATACTGAAGTTCTTTACCTCCCTCAAACAGGTCTGTACATAACTATCTAGACCATGTCAAACTCATGACGTCACGTGACATTGCGCAACGTATCGGGCCGGTTTTGCCATTGCCAGCAATGGCTGGGCGCGGCTTCCACGTGATGCATCTGGCCCGCAGGCCGGCAGTTTGACACCCCTGATCTAGACATTACTGTTACTTTAGTTCCTATAGTAGAATTATTGAAAAACTGGACCAACAATGTTTTCTGAAGTGGCAGATTGGGAGTCAGTGTCAGAGTGTTCATATTCTGGTTTCCCGGAGAGAGCATCAGCATATCTATTATGGCTGCAAGAGATGTGATTCTAAAACTAAAGTGAACAAAAAAAAAAAAACGTTGAGTGGATTAGTATTTCCTGGTGGTTTGAAGATGTTCAAGATTCTGGTGATCAGTACAGACTTCCACTCAGTATCTGGCTCCCTTCCACTGTGTGTCTGTCTCCTTCTAGCAATTGTCATAAGGTTTCAAAAATGGCTTTAATTGCTGGCAGTTCCTTATCCCAGTGATATTGTTTTTCTCAGCCATCTTTCAGTTTCTGAGAGTAATAGTCACAGGAGAATATACTAGAGAAGCATCAAGTCTGCCTGGGGCAGTACTGCTCCTAAGACTACCTCAAAGATGTCACTCTCTATAACAAAAAGACGTGGATCTGGGTGAAAAAGATTAAGCTGAGAAGAAAATGCAGACTTTAAAGTTTCAAAAACTTTCTGAACCTTCTTATCTTATTGAAAAATGATGTTCTTCTGGAAGAGGTTGGTCAATGGTGCTGTGACTTTAGTAAACCAAAGAATAAAAAACGGATAATAATTTGTAAAGCCCAGTAGGCATTGTACATCCGTGTGTGGGGACTACCAAGACAAGATAGCATCCACCTTATCGGAATCCATGGAACTACCAAAATTGCCTAGAAATTCTATTCACACTAAGTGACTTTTGTAAATAGATGATTTTCCTGAGTTTCTGTAAATCAGTCTGACATGTTATACATGTTCTGCATGTATATCCTGCATCAGGATATCATCAATATAAATAATGATATAATGATCCAGAAAATCTCAGAACACACTGAGATTTCATAAGATGCTGGAAAATTGCAAGAGGATTCATCAGTCCAGGAGACAGGACCCTATATTCAGTATGCCCATAGTATGTGCAAAACACTGTATTTGATTCATTTCTCTTTCTTTTGCACATTAAATTGTACAACCTATAATATCTCACTTGATAAACATTTAGTATTGTAGAGGTATTCAGAGATGAATGACAAAGAGTAATGATTATAAACAATAATCTGATACAGTTGCCAGTAACCTTTGCAGATACTAGATTCTCACAATTTTTTTCTAAAGAACAGTACAGTAGCCCCTGCAGGAAATGATAAGGGTCAAATAAAATCTATTTTCACATTTTTATCAATGGATCCCTTCAAGGCTACCAACTTAGGTTGTGATAAAAAGTAGAGACATCCAAATGAGATCTTAGCCCCTGGTACCAGATCAATAGGGCAGTCATGCATGTGGTGCAGTAAATAATACGCTTTCTTTTGACTGATTACATCTGTGAGTATCTAATGAGAAAGTCATAACATGTTATTCAGCAGCTAAAATTGTAGGAATGATAAACTCATCATATATTATTAAATTCTTCATCTATAACCAGTTTTTCTTTTTAGATGTGACTACACAATGCTGTATATCATGCTAGATTCAGATTGACATATAAGTGGATGTAGTATTTCCCTCTGAAATTATAATCTGATTTAGGGCCATATGACAATTCAGTTTGCCATGTAGGCCAAAAAGGAGTCTCAGGACTGATTCCATATACCTATTTTCTTTCCTCTAGTCTCTAAGGCCAATTCTAACTGACATCGCAAAACATAAGCTGGTGAACCCAAAAACAGATGTAGCAGAAGACAATGCAAAAGAAAAAACATACTAGACAAATATGCAGATCCAAAAAATCTGAACTTTTCGAACTTTATGTCAAATGATAGACAGATAGATATACAGTATCTGAATGCATCCAGTATGCATTCTGAATAAATTCTCATTTTTGGTTATAGAACTAAAACTTAAATATCATCCTGATAGTATAAGAAACACAAAAATACAAATACCCCTAAAAATTCATTTTTGGATTACTGATAGTATGACAGAGGAGATTTTGCAGTGTTATTCAAGACAGAATTATTTTGATCTTGTGTTTAAATTGAATGCTAAAAACAAGTAACTTTGTTACTCACTTTAAAAATCATTTTATTTATTTATTTTGACATCTATTCAACAAACCTATATGATTTCCAATATACCAGCATGAACTCTGAGCAGTGCAATTAAAACAAAAATTGATTTTAAACAAACATGAAATATGTAGTTGTCCCAATAAAACTTACCTCCATCAATCAATGGATCATTAAATTATGAGTATTTTTTAACTATCCTATGCCTGTACAATTATTAGAAGAGCCACATGGTCAGGAAAGAGCAGTCTACAATAGGACAGTACATCAGCTACTTTCAGTTCAGAATAAAAGCTTACTTATGAATTTATGATTCTCAAAGTCAGTCAAAAGACTTATACAGTTAAACTTTTAGCTTTGTATAGACAAGAATTTTGCTACAGATGAAAGGACATTCAGCACATATTTGTTCTAGATCTTACAGTATGAATGAAATGTATTGTTTGGAACTCATCATTTCCTATTATTGTGTTAATAAATCGTGCAAGTTTCATATGGACTCCTACTGTTGAACTATAAGCTTTTCAAGCAACTTTGAATACTTATTAACATTTATTTAAGATTTGAATTATAGTCTTAATTTTGCCTTTTTGTGCTTTTATAGATGCATTCCAAATATAAAATTCTTTATTTTTTTCCAGTTCGTATTAATTCCTTTTGATACAGCCAAATATTATGTCAACCAAATTCATCTTTTTAATGAATATGTCTTCAATGAATTTCTATGTAATTACTTGATTACTAAAATTCTAAATTTAAAGCAATTAGATATGATTAAGCAGGCAATCATAGGGTTTTTTTATGCTATCATTGGATGTCTCTACTTCTATCAACCAATGAAAAAAGAGGAATCTCAAGTTCTCTACCAGAGGCCTGAAAGTTTGAGGGTTCTGCATAGTATCTTAGCTGTCCCCAGCACTGCACTTTTTTGAACCTAGAGCTCTGATGTATATAGGAGCTGTGGGAACCACTCTCCCAGCTTAGGAGTCACAGCCCTGAGTGCTCTTACCACACTTAGATTACTTTGGTCTTTACTTTCCACGTCCTCTCTATTTCCTCTTTCAGGCTTTTCTCTAGCTTCTCATACTCATACTCCTTCTACTTAATGTTGCTGTCACTTGGCACTACTGCGGGTTATTAACAAATTGCCCTATTAGCTGTTACCAATAGATCTGCCCTATTAGCTTTTACCAATAGATTTTAAAAAATAGCTAAATCTTAGTTTTGATCTAAGTCTCACAATGGAGAGCTATGTTTGAGGCATGCCATGGAATTTATAAGATATTTCTTAGAAATTTATATTGCAGTTTCCATTTTTATACAGTCACCCTACGGTCCTAATCTGTACTGTACAAGACCTAGGTCCACATTTTGACAGAGTAAAACTTCAAGATATGCTGTACACATGCTCCTTTAAAAAAATGTATTCCTTGTTCTTCAATTCAGCTCTTGCTAACTTTTATAATTTTTACTTGTGAGACAAAGTTGATTTCAGAAATTGAAAGTACCATGGCTTTTAACTTTTTGATATAGCTGTTAAAACTTTTCATCTTTAAATGTACTATTTTTACTTCTCACCTCATAGCACCTCCACAGTTTGTGGTAAGGCCACGTGATCAGATTGTTGCCCAGGGAAGAACAGTAACATTCCCATGTGAAACTAAAGGAAATCCTCAGCCAGCAGTGTTTTGGCAAAAAGAAGGCAGCCAGGTAAGTTCTTTAAATGAGAATTAATTCTTTAATTACTAGAGATATACAAGGCTTTAGAACCACTGTATCAGAAAGGGTATTTGCATGACAAACGTTTTTCTCAAAGCATATAAAAAAACAATGTTACTTGCAAGACTTATCAGGTTATGTTCCAATTTGCAGGCAGTCTCAGCAAGGGGGCACAATTCCCCTATTTATTTATATCAATATTGTGAATGGCAGTAATAATTAAATAATAATAATAATTTTAATTTATTTTTCAAGACTTTAAAACAAATTAAAATTATTATTATTATTTAATAATTATATTTAATAATAATAATATTTAATTATTATTAAATTAAATCATTAAATTATTTAATTATTTAATATTATTATTTAATAATAATAATATTTAATAATTAATCATTGATATAATGATCCTACTGGATCAATTCAGTATATTTTTCAAGACTTTAAAACATATTGAATTGATCCAGTAGGATCATTATATCCATGATTAATTTATTTTGCTATCCAGTTAAGTTTTTACAGAATATAAATATATTATGCTAGCCCTTTGTCTTGCTAACAAACTGGAGAAAATAATTTAGACTTGTTCTCCACAATCTAAACCGCAACAGCTACTTTCAATGGAATAGGAAGTTATTTCTATATCTTTTGGATGATAGCTAGCTTATATGCACCCATATGGTTGAACTACTGAAATATTTTCTTTGTTATATATCAGTTAAACTATAAAATGTATAAGTTGACACTCTTTATGAACTGAATAAATAATTCATGTGTCATGTTACCACTGTATATTGGAAAATTACAGAGATGTGGATCAAACATTTCCTCCTACGATTGATTGCATTTTTCTTTGTTTCAAAGCTTGACAGGTTTTTTGGTTGTTTGCTTCAATGTGCAGTGTGAGCATTATTTGAAGGACTTGATTCATATAATTTAAAAGTTGATTTCATTATGAAGAAAAGTATTCTTGGCTTGCTGCTGAGAAAATTTCTTTGAGGAGAAAATTTATGCCATTTTTAAAATTAAAATAAGAATTTTAAATATGTTACTGTAAAGTCTTAATAACATGGTAATGTTTATGTAAAGTGGGCTTATAGTGCCACACTTGAATCTAATAAAGTGGACATCCATCATGATGTAATAAAGAGAAGAGCTTCTAATTAAAGTAGGATATCATTTGCAGGATTACAGTCATTTAGTGTAATTGAAAAGTGTTAATACCCTTTTTTATCCACTTTCATTGGTATTACTTCAAGGGTAAAACATTTTAAGGTGAAAATGTATCTTGCTTCTTTAATTGAATGCTGTTACCTACTGATTGTAACATGTTGAAGCTGTTTAATTACAAACCTGTAGAATTAATTACAATATTGAGACCAAGTTCCCAGAGGGCTTAAATGTTCTCTTTTTGGCAAATAAATGTAACATAAAAATTGATACCTCAGTTGTTTATAATCAAACCTTGAAACATAGTTCAATGTGATTCATTATTCCCACATGTTGTTTTCTTAATTGAGCTTCAATAAAGCAACAGAGGTTAACCAGGTTAATGTTTCCACTCTAATATAAAAATGTCTGCTCTTTGTAGGGAGATATCAACCTTTTAAATGTTTAAAAGTCCTGTCATTGCATTTTATTATGAATAGTAAAGGCATATTACTTCAGCTTTGCCTAAATTGGATATATAAATTATTATTATTTTATTCTGTGTACCCAGTTGTCATTAATTTTACATTTCCTCCCTCAGAAAGAAAGAAAGGAAAAGCAAACTCTATTGTCTTGTATAATCATGGTCATATTCTTATGATCATGTAGATTTCTGTAACTTATATTAGCCTAGTAACGTAAATTTTAAGGCATTCTTATATTGGATTGTTTTTTTTTACTCTTTTACTAAGAGTTGTCAACTGGATAGGAGAGGAGTTAATAACTGTCCCTGGATTTTTCATGATGGTAGTTAGTATAACTGTTTATATTTAGTAGCTATTTCATTGAGATTTTAATCATATATTATATAAAATGCAGCAACTTTATACTAAAGAATATGTATACTTTATTCTCTGTTGGATTTCAGCAGTATATTTCCAATATTCTTGAATAAGTGAACCACGTTCTTCACAGTATTGTATTTGGATAATTGATTCTGTTGTTAATGGCTGGATTCCCATATTCACTAAATCATACCATAGATTTGGGGTGTGTATATTAGAACATACTGTTATGATTTGTTATTAAAAATATGCATTATTTATGAAATCCATGTGAAAACACAGCCAACATTTAAAAATTTAATTCTTATATTCAACATCACCATTTAATAACATATAAAATTTACTATAGGCAGTCTCCTGAAAAATCATAATTACCCACTAACATCTGATTATTTAAATACATATGGGCAAATAATATAATTTTCTTTTTAGAAATGTAATATCTACTAACCAAGCTACTTATGTAATTTCTTGTTTTTCTAAAGTTTATTATTAAAATAATTTCTGAAATTTTGCTGTGTTTGGGAACTTTAAGGAAACCATCTTAAATGTTCCACAAAACCAATAGCCTAAATTATAATATCTAGCTGAATATTTCTTAAGTAAGTAAAATCCTATTTTCCAATAAAACTGTGCACCTACCATATTAAAAATTATATATAATAAGTTCCAATTAAAAATTGCACCAATTTATCTCATAGGAAGTTATACAACCATGTGTACATAGTAATATGCCCATTGTGAAGAATGCTGCTGTTACTTAGAACAGGGCTTTTCAACCTTTTCACCCATTGTACCACTTTTAGGATATGGCAATATCCGAGTACCACCAGTTGCCTAGCAAGATGTCAAAAACTTGACCCCCCCCCCAAAAAAGGATAAAGTACAGGTAGTCCTCGACTACTACAGTTCACTTAGTGACTGTTCAAAGTTACAATGGCACTAAAAAAAGTGCCCCCCAAGCCACAGCCGAGCAAGACACCGCCCGGCCTCGCTCTTCCTCCTGTCCAAGGTTTTCATTGTTGTGAGCATTTCTGTTGAGGATTGGCAGAGGGGGTTGGGTGGGGGGGTGCTTGGTTTTTATTCCCCCCATCTGCTGGGTGGTTGCAGCAGGTTTTGGTCACTTCACATGACCCTAGGACACGGTGACCATCATAAATATGAATCAGTTGCCAAGCATCTGAATGTAAATCACAAGACCCTGGAGATGCTGCAACATTCCAGCTGATCAGCGCTTCTTCAGAGCTCAGCAGAAGTGCCAGAATGAGTCTGCTTTCCAGCTGATTGGTGGTTCTTCAGGGCTCAGCAGAAGCACCAGGATCAGCGCTGAGCTCCAGCTAGAGCCTGGCGTTGATCCTGGCCCTTCTGCTGAGCCCTGACAGCCCTGCAGCTCCAGCCATCTCTCGCTCAGGCTTGTGTGATGCTGCCACTGGTTCAGCTCATTCCCCACTACCACTTTTCTAGCATGGTCGCGTACCACCTGCCAGGTGCCAATGTACCACAGGTGGTACCCGTACCACTGGTTGACAAGCCCTGACTTAGAAAATCTTTAGTGATTCAGCTTTGAACTAAATGATTTGCATTACCTCTACAGAATCTTCTATTTCCGAATCAGCCTCTCCAGCCTAATGCCAGGTATTCTGTGTCACCAACTGGAGATCTTACTATCACAAATATTCAGCGGGCTGATGCAGGATATTACATCTGTCAAGCACTCACAGTTGCTGGAAGTATCTTAGCAAAGGCTCAGTTGGAAGTTACAGATGGTAAGAAATGATCTTCATGATATATTGTTATTATTGTTATATATTGTTTTATATATGTTTATGATTCCAAGTCATGAATTGTTTGTAGATCTAAACTAATTATTTGGATTGACCAAAAGGCAGTTAGGGCAGTTTAAATAAGAAGCTACCAAGACAAGAATAATTGAAATCAAATACCCTGTTCTCTCATTCACCCACTCTGACAAATGTCTAGATAATTGGAGATTCTTTAGAACGTCTCATATGCAGATAATTATTTCCTATTGTATTTATTTTAATAGCTACTGAAAGTACTTAATTACTGGAAGAACTAAACTAGAAGTAATCCCCATATTATATAATTCTAAATTTGCAAGTAGCTTTAGTCCAAAGTGAAATCCTACATGCAATTTTTTACAGGAAATATACACATACATACACATATCCCATGACAAAGGGGTATAAATTATTTTGGACACAATGAATTATACCAAGTCAATTGATTCTTAGTCAGAAAGTACTTTTCAGAAAGAGTATAAAATCTCTTTTAGCAAAATGACTATCAGGTGAGAGGGAGAATTTTTTATATAACGTAATGAGCCTAATATATAAGTGGTTGTTACTTAGTATCTGCCTCATTTAATGACCAAAGTTACAACCATACTAAAAACAGCTTAACAACTATGCCCCACAGTTATGTCCTTTCCAGCACCTCTTTCCTCTTGCTTATTTACACCATACCAAAATATTTTTAAAGAGAGACAGAAGCAAACCCAGATCTGCTGAAGGAAATAGTAAAAAACAAAGGAAAACTGGAGTGAAATCATAAGTTGTGGTCATGTAATTTTCACTTTTGCTTAACAACCAAGTGTACGGTAACAGTAACAGTAATTGAATGAGAACTACCTGTATATAAAATAATATACTATAATATAATAATCAATATCTAAAATATCTAAATATATCCCTGATGTTCTATATCATTATATAAACTTCCACTGTTTATATGAAGTTCATAAAGTTCGTAATAATAATCCCACACATTTATGCTAAGAAAATATAAAAACTGAAATTGTAAAATTGAAAAGTCCACATATGCCTTGGGTATTTTTATATCTGTGTAGTGGACTGTCAATAAGCCATAGTTAAAAAAATTATATGAATATAATATCCCTGAATTATATCTAAATGTGATAAATAAGGAAATCTATTTGTTGTGACACTGTTGATGCTGTAGGAAATCCAGCAGCCCACTATATATTATATGTAAGGTGATACATAACCTCCTATTGGTTTTATTCTGAAAGGTATAATTTACAAGCAGAAAAATGAAGTTAATTTCCTTCACTGTCCTACAGGCTGACAGGCATGAGTTGCAAGTTATTCAGGCCTAGATATTAAGGTAAAATCAGACTTTTCCTATTAAAATTAATAGGGATACGTCAATTTTAACAGCTGAATTTCTGGTCCTTTACTTAGAAATATGGATAGTTAACACACTTCCTTTTTATAGCACTTTGCATTGCAATATTTGCAATTTCTAAGTCAGCTTAAATACCATATAATTTCTACTGAGAGATTTTAAAAATATGATCTCAATATTTTTTTTGGGGGGGGGGAATTATCAGGATTTAAAGTAGTGGTTAATCCTTGAAATGAAAACTGCAGTGAAAGAAGATTGAGGCAGTTATTTAGGAAAGCCAGTTTAAAAAATAGTTTAAGTATGAATCACTCTCTTCATGAGTTATTTGAGTATCTGCAATTCAAGTGTAAAACAAAAATCACTGAGGTGCATTTAGCAAGGTTGTCAAACATTTCGATAAATTACCTTTATAGTATATTGTATATTTTATTTTATATGTTTATAATATTTTTTTAAGAAAGCATTCATCATTTGAATTTTTCTCCCAAATGTTTATGTTTTGTCATTAATATTAAAATAATTCAATGCAAAATTGATTAGTATTTCAGGGCATTCTGAACCATCTGTTTTTGCAATCTTATTAAATATCTTTTGGCAGATTGTAGAATTTTTACCATTAAAAATGTTGCATTAAAGATTTTGTTTCATAAGTTCTGTAGATACTCAGAGGTTTCATTAAAAAATAGCCAGGCTAATTTGAAATTATCTGGCTTTTCACAAGCAGATATTCGTCATGATTTATAGATAACAGTTCAGCAGCATTTTTTGGTGGAATAAAACAGGGCTTTCTTTTCTCAAAATACTATAATGCCTGATTGAAAAAGAAAGAAAATTTGTTTTTTATTGTTATATTTTTAAAAGTATGCAGCTAAATCCTGAGTACTAATTATTGTCCTGTTCCCACTTTAAATATTGCCTTTTTTCATTCTTTATGACAAAATGATTCATTTTGATGCAGTTCATTTTTATATGATTAAATAGACATTTAAAACTAATGGAAAAGCAGTGTTTTTAAAATATGTGCCTGTGTTTCTGTAGTAGTATTTCACTCGCTAATAAGTAGTTCAGCTTTGATTGAAATAAACAGTGCATTCAGTTCCTGGTCAAGAGGACATGACATGCAAATGGTGGTGGTAGAAAGCTTAAATTCAATAGGATGTGAAGAGAATAAGTCAAATTAGACCCATGAGTTAAAACAACTCCTTCCTTCATGAAGGATTTTATTCTCTTGCAGGATTTATTTCTATGGAACACAAACAACAACCTATCTTAATTTTTATTTATGGTTTATTAAATTTATATGCCGATTGATTCCCAGCATGTTAAATGTTAAAAACAAATTTAAAATAACAAACTCATCTGGGTTAATAGCTGTTGCTTTTATCTTTTTATTTTATTTTATTTGATTTGATTTCTATAGCCACTTACTGTCATTTTTTAAAGATGGAATTCATTGAAAATATAATATAAAGAATTTCATATAATAAGGATAACATTTCGTTTAGCTTTTCTATCTACTAGAATTTTATGGAACTACTAGAAAACATGTAAAATAAAATAATTTTGCAGACAAATTTTATTAATCTGTGAAAACAAATCAACATTTATAGTAACCGCAATCTGTACCAATGTCTGAGCAGGGTTTAGAAAATATTACATTAAATAGTTTTGAAATTGAATGAAAATGTCTATGGAATATGCTTTATTTCCTTGCTCCATCACTGAAGCATAAAAAACTCTAAAATACATATATATATTTCCTTCTTTGTTTGCACAACAATATTAAAATGCTGTTTACAATAAGCAGTACTGACACTTGCTTTAACAGTTTAGGCAGACTTTATGTAAGATTTTATATATATATTTGTTTTCTGAGGTTTTTGTGGGTGTTTGTATGTAGATCTTTGGTTATTCGGGCTTTCTCCTGCGTCAAATTGGAAGTGTCTTGGCGACGTTTCGATGAAGTCCCATTCGTCATCTTCAGGCTGGTGTTTTCGGCTTCTTGCTCCTGGAAGCAAGAAGCCGAAAACATCAGCCTGAAGATGACGAATGGGACTTCGTCGAAACGTCGCCAAGACACTTCCAATTTGACGCAGGAGAAAACCCGAGTAACCAAAGACCTACACACAAACATACACACACACACACACACACATATATATTGTCCATTATAATACATATTTCAATAGTTTTTCTTTAAAAAGAAAATATCTTTGTCAATTAATTAGGTTTTGCTGTTGAAATAATTCTAATCCTTTAAATGATAACATAAATAAAGTATTTAAAAGCTTCCTGGCCAGAAGATGCCAGATTTTGTATAAATATATACAATACATGAATTTCCATATTAAATGCTTGAACACATTTTGAAAATAATTACTTACATAAGATAAACAAAAGGACTTGTGGCCCCTTAAAGAGTAGCAAATATATTAACAAGTCACAGTGATGTGATTATCACATTCTACAAATGTATTAATATTCAGTTTCATTTACACATAATCAATTTTACAGTTCTTAAATTTCAACATGACTCAGCTGCTCTTTTGAAAAGGACATATGCAACTTTCATTGTTTTAATCAATAAAAAGAATGATATATTTAATCATTACTAAATAAATCAATTACAGTTTTCTTTATACTTAGTTTTGTTTTATTCCTTTTTTCTGAGTAACATCAGTAATAGCATTTAGACTTATATTGCGCTTCATAGTGCTTTACAGCTCTCTCTAAACTGTTTAAAGTCAGCATATTGACCCTAATAATCTGGGTCCTCATTCTACCAAAAGAAGGCTGAAGCAACAATAATAAAAAATTACAATACAATTAACTTAAAAACAATGAACAATCTTACAATATTTCTTTTATAAAAATAGCTTGCAAGAAAATAAACATTAATATATTCCTTATATATGAGATAGCTCAGTTGCAAAATGAAATATATAAGTAGCTTACATGTTAAAGCACATTTTTAATACTGTAATTTAAGCATATAAATATATTTTACATCTTTGTTCAAAGTCATTTTCTGAATGACTTAATGATTTTCTTAATGATGGCTTACATAAATTTTAATAAATAGCTTGTTAGTTTCTCAATGTATCTATTAATCCAGAAGGCTATGGGTATGAAAAACATACTTGGCATTCCCCAGAAATCTACAGAGTGGATATATAGTTTTATATAAACTGTAATAGAATGTATGATGTTCTTAACTTTGTAATGCATCTTGTACATTCAGAAAACATTCTGGAAGTGAGGGTGAAGGTTCGTTCTCCTGGCTTGTGGGTTGGTTTCTGAACATTTCATTACTAGGCTAGGTAACATCTTCAGTGGTGTTTAGGGGATGTCTGTGTCTGTGTCATTGTTGAATAGTTCCTACAGTTTTACAGGCAAGATTTCGGAAGTGGTTTTCCATTGTCTTCTTGCCAAGCCTGAGAGGGTGTGACTAGCCCAAGATCGCTCAACTGACTTTGTGCGTAAAGTGGTATTAGAGTGCATGGTCTTCCAGTTTCTAATCCGGTGCCTTAACTACTACAATGAACTGGCTCTTAGCAACTACTAATATAATTTTGTAGAAAATGGTTTTCAAAATAGTGGCATCTGAGTCTGAATATTAAAGGATATCTACTAATATATGCACATATATATATTTAAATTCAGTTTTAACAGATAGGCCTCCACCCATCATTCTCCAGGGACCTGTAAACCAGACATTGGCAGTAGATGGAACAGCTTTACTGAAGTGCAAAGCTACTGGTGACCCAATGCCTGTTATCAGCTGGTTAAAAGAAGGATTTACTTTTCTTGGCCGAGATCCAAGGACATCTATACAAGATCAAGGAACTTTGCAAATTAAACCTTTACGGGTGAGTATATTTTGTAACAACATATTTACCTTTCTGAAATCAAGAGAGTAATAGTTAAATGAGAGGTGCTTAATTATTTATTGATTGTACATCTCATGTAGAAGTTTAGGCACTCTGGGTTAATGAACAGAAGCTGACACAATTTCTGAAATATTTGTTCCAATGTAAATGCATAGTTATTATGTCTGTGTAGTTGTTTACAAGCTCCAAATAAGAAAAACTGTGCATATGGCAAATGCAGAATTTTGAACAATCTTCCTGTTAATTAAGTGCTGCTGCTGCTGCTCTTCTATTATTGATGCCTCTTTTCTTGTTCTTTCTATAGGTGAATTTTTTAATTAGGTTTTAATACAAAATTGAATTTCTAGGTCTATTGTGCATTATCCAGGTAAAGAAAATTCTATAGGTAACAAATATTCTATCTCACAAACTTTTAGGTTTTGATTTTGTTATATTTACTTTCAACAGCTATGACATCTTCTAAGCAGCTTTCTGACTAGCAATTTTAACTTTTAAGAAAAGTAAATGGGTTAATGGATGTGTTGAAATCAAGGCAATAGTTAAAAAGGTAAAAAATAATCTCCACTAGAACTGCTCAAATTTTGTTTATACTGTATCTGCAGAACAGAACTACAGTTTAATGCAGATGATCTGACGAAAAATATAGCTGACACTGAATAGTTATCCACAAATTCAGTATAACCAAAATAAATGTTAGTTATACAACAATGATCTGCACAGAACAGTTGACAAAATGAAATTCATTGTCCAACTTTATCACAAAAATGATTTTCTAAACTATACAAAAGAAATTTGTGAACTTGAAATATTGTGGAGCAAAATTTGGACAATATGAAACAAAAACTGAATTCTTGGTGCACATCTTTAAGGAAGGAAAGAAACATTTTGAGGTAAAAAGAGCAAAGCATTTGCTGGAAGGAACATATCATCAACCATTAAATACGGAGATGTTATTTAATAAACTATAATAATTAGTTAGTTAATAAACTATATTAAGCCAGTAATATAGGAAATATTGCATGGGTGGAAGGAAAATGCATTCAACTAAATGCTCAAATATGTTTTGTCCCATAACCACTGAAGAATTGAGGTGAAAAGTGATTGGATTTTTCATTAAGGTAACAATCTGCAATATATATCTCCAAATCAGCTATAAAGTACTTACAGGAAAGAAAGATGAATATTTTTGAGAGACCTTTGAAGGCTCCAGAGTTGAATATTCCTAAAAATCAAAAGAGCAGAGTTAAAGACTCAATAAATGCAATTAATCAATAGCAAGAACAGAAATATTATTAGTTTGGCTACAGAAAATTTTTGATGCTGTTTTTTTCCCTGTTGGAAGCTGTCATTTGTCAAAGGAGACATTACAAAGTTCACCAATGGTGTTCCATCTTTGTACCTGCCATATTCAATGTGTCCTCATTTTGTCTCTGTAAACAATTGTACATACTGTAAATAGTAGCCGTGCATTTAAACTATTAGAAAGTTGTGTACTATATAAAGGTTTATAGGTCCTTTTCATTTACAAACTGGAATCAAACAATTTTATTACAATATGCAAAATTGCCATTCAAGTAAATACATTAATTAATTATAAAATACTCAGGAACTGTTACAAAAAATATTTTATTCAATAAAGAGAAGAAAATTTTTGAACATTAATGTATAAATATAAAATTAAATAATAGGTATGGAGCATGTGAGAAAATTGAAATGAGACAAGTTTACTGGTAGGCAAGACTAAATAGTAAAACATATCAGTAATTACCTCAACATATGATAAATCCCACTTTTAGGTTGAGAAACAAAAATACTGTTGTTTAGCTACAAAATAGTTATCCTTGTATTTATTTTCCTATCTTCAGTTGCTGCACATGATAACATTTTAACTCATCCACAACTAACTCATGAATGATACATATTTACAACTTTCCTTTCCAACATACATGAGATAGTGAACTGATTCAAGGAACTTTCTTATGTTTTTCTGGCTCTTAATTTCCAAATCTTTAATATTTTCATTAAATTCTATTTATTCAAAGCATGTTACCCAATTATCTGCACAAACTAGAATAAGCATCCCAATGATTTTTATATAAATACTAGTTTCATTTATTATTATTTTGTGTTAGTTGTCTTGAGTGCTTGCAAAACCGAAAGGCACTTTATGTCTCAAATAAATAAATAAATCATTTTGCAAAAAGGCTCCGGCAGAGGGTTTTAGTTCTTAAGTGTTTCTTTTAAAAATTTGCATTCATCTTTCGATAACTATTTTTTATAAATTCATATGTTTACCCAAGAGCATATATGCACCCATATGGACATATAAAGTAAATACTTATAGAATAGGCTGAACTTTAGATTTGATTTAAAAGAGATTTTTCAGAATGTGCATGAGCATAAATACCTGTTTTTGACTAATTAAAGCAGGCAGAAATGTTTACAGAACATAATGCCATCTGTAGTATAGTTTTCTTTAAATATTCACATATATTTTCCATTAAGTTGAAGAAAAGTGTGTTCCCATATCTGTTTATTGTACATGGATTTTATTTCTGCTGCTGCTGCCAATTTCCAGGTTTTTGGCTTCCCTACGCAATTTCTTTCAAGTTCAGTAACTTTACTATTAATGATTTTATGAGAAAATGCACAGGAGGTTTATCTTTACTTATTCTATGCTTAAGTTGAATGCCCTTATCAGATGTCTCAGCATTCCATGTATCTTTTATCTTTGTGATGTTTCTTCTGTTTGTTGAACAGCTTATTCTTTTTCTGCTTCTGTCATTATAGATTTCAGTTAAATTCTTCAGATTCCTTCAAAATCAAAATTTAATCTGTATTTTAATCAATAAGTTGTAGTCTTTTCTTAGTTTATTTGCTTACTATAATCAACTAGTGTTCTTTCCATTGTTGTATTGTCTAATATGGCACATTTTATTCAGTTCTTTGACCACACCTGTGCACTTTACATTCTAATATATTGCTATAGCTGTATATTTTAAAATTACTTTTATTAAAGTAAAAAACAAAGCTCATACGGAATTTTATTTTTTTAAAAAAAATATCAGATTTGTAGATCTGTTCTGCAACATTATCACAATATTTTTATGATTGACCTGAAGCAATCAACATCCATCATTTCTGACTAAGGCTATATTTTTTCTTTAAACTACATTTTAATGTGCTATGCTGCTTTTTTCCTGAAGCTGTATTCCATGTATTTTTTTTTCTAAGATTGAAGTTCTTCCTGTAAATTTCCTATGGTTACCCATATTGTAACTGAAGTTTGCACCAATTACAATTATTTGTCAAGCTATACATTTTTCAAATGCCTCATCTGTCATGACTTTAAAGTAATCTATTAAAATAGTTGAGAAAAAGTGAAGGAAAATGACTGTGCAGTCATATGCATGACAAGACAATTTGGAACAGTTTTCAAAGCAGCTAATAAGAAAAAGACAGTTTATTCAAAATAAAGTTCCATGTATTTCAAAACCCAGCTTTTGAATATGCACAGCTTTGTTCCAAAATGCTTTTTGAATATTGGTGTTCAAAATATGATCCCAAATTTGAATGCATTTTCTTTTATTATATGCTTTCAGTGCAACTATTTATTTGTAAAGGTCCTGGCAACCAATTTTAATCAATCTTTAAGTAAAATCATACTATTTTACTCTGTTAACCAGCTCAGTGACAAAAAATATCTTTTAAAAGGAAAGAAATTTCTATTTCTAATTTCTAGTTTCTTTTCTATATACTCTGGTATCTGTTAGAACAGGGATCCCCAACCTCCCGGTCCATGGACCAGTACCGGGCCTCGGCATGCAAGCAACCAGGCCACACAAACAAGCAAAGGATGCAGGCAGCACACAAAACCATGCCCCCTCCGGTCCACGGAAAAACCTCTCTCCACGTAACTGATCCCTGGTGTCCCAAAGGCTGGGGACCTCTGTTTTAGAAGTGCCATTTTGCAAAACTGCCTTATCTCTCAGCAATCTATTTTAAGGCAACACCTTGTCCTAGAAAAGTGAAACTCTTTGCCTGAGCACCACAAATAAAAACTAGCAAAAAAAAGCACAGGGTACTTTGCTTTGCCTTATCTAGCTATTTTACTGGAAATGGCCAGCAAAACAACTTGATGCAATGTTTAATGTATCACCAAGAAGCGCATGAGGAAATATCAAGGAAGTGCTTCATAGAAGCCTCAGACCAAGTCTCATCCAGATCTAGTATTTCTAGACTTTAATACTGTCTCTTTATCTTGATCATTATTTTCTCCACAATTCATTACAAGCCTTCCTTTAACAAATTCTAATGTTAATTCTGCCTCAACCTGCCACATGTTTATCCTTTGTCCATAATCCTGTGCAATTGTTCAAGACAGCATTTATACATTCTTGAATGTCTTTGCCTTTCCCAAGTTTTATCTGATGTAGTTTTATTTAAAACAACTTATTATTCACTCTTGTTCTTTTAGAACAGGGGTGTTAAACTCAATTTCATTGAGAGCTGCATCAGCATTGCGGTTACCCTCGGGCTGGCTGGGTGTGGCCAGGGTCGGTGCGGCCTACTGGGTGGGCATGAATGGAGTGGGTGTGGCCTACTGGGTGGGCGTAGTTTTGGCAGGCAGCGGGGTGCTGTCCTCACAGCACTGAGAGGTGGAGCCGGGCGGTGTGAAGCTCGCCAACTTTGCACCTTTCTGCCTGCTGAAACTGGGCAGGCTGGGGGCTAGGCAGCATTGCACTTCTCATCAGATTCGCACCACCCAGCTCAGCCTCTTGGCACTGTGAGGAGAGCACCCCGCTGCCTGCCGAACCCTAGAGCCCATCAAGCCGGATATGTGAAGTAGGCGAGGCCATTTGCTGGCCACTTCCCGGTGATGGTGCATTTCTTCATTCCTTGCAAAGGGTGACACCTCCCCAGCATGCACCCAGGGAGTTGGGCCGACACAACCGGGACTGGTTCCTCACTATTTCCAGATGGCCTTGTGGAGCTAAGACTGAATGTGTTTCAGCATAGATGGCCACCACAAAATTGTACATTGGCTCCCAGCCAGCCTGGGCCAGGGCCAAGGCAGCAGGGACCATTCCCTCACTATTTCCAGGATGGCTTCACGGGCCACATGAAACCACTTCATGGGCCTTGTGTTTGAATGTCTGTTTTAGAAATTCCAGGATAAGTCCCCCTTTTCTATTTTCTAATTTGTTAAGTATACCTATTTTACCCTGCTATTAATATATGTGTAGTATATAATGCTTGCTCATTTTGTTTATTCCAATCTTTAGGATTTCATAGTAGTCTCTCTCTGGTAATGGCCTCCTTTAAATCAGCTTTTTATGCTTTGTACTTCTACAGTTGACAATTTGAATTACTCGGTTTCATTTTTGAAACTGTGGGAATATCATTTTTATACCCTTGTTTTTTAAAAAATAATTCATAGCTATCAGGGGATAGGTTTGTTAAATGTACCTAGGAAGGTGTTCTAACAGAATTTTAACTCTACGTATATACAAAATGACAATTAGCAAAATTTGGTAGTACAATTTATGCTGTCCTCAGGTTGCATAAAATAGATTATTGCTCTTCAACAGAATGTTAATAAATATATCAATATGGGAAAAATATTATACACTTGCTGAATTGGAGAAGGTGACAAGGTAAAACAGTTTGAATCATGGAATTCTTGCATGTATGTAAAATTAAAGTTGGTTGGTAAATAAAGTAAGAAATTTGTAATATGGAAGTACAGCATGCATGAAAATAAAGAGAATACTTACCAAATAATTCATCATTGAACCAAGAGTAATCCAGGAATATGCAATGATTCCTTTGTAACATATAAAAATGTTAGGAAAGTTTCTGTTGATGCTAAAGGCATGTGCTCTTGGAGAATTCAGAGTATGCTTATTTGAGAATGTAGATCAGGGGTATCAAACTCACAACGTCACGTGACATGTCATGATGTATTGCGATTTTTTTGCCATTGTCAGCAATGGGGTGGGCGCGGTTTCAGCATGACGCATCTGGCCTGCGGGCCGGCAGTTTGACACCCCTGATGTAGATGATATTTTGTGTTGTTCATGGAGAACTTATCCCTACCAAATGTTAAATTAATGATATGATTTAATGGATCATATAAATCTGAAAATTAATTAATCAAGACCATAATATTTGTGACTGATAGGAGAAATGGTGTGAACAATTATTACTTACTCACAAATTATGAATATGAATGTAATGTAAAATGTGTATTTTAAAATAGTTATTAAGTAAATAAATGTGGGAAATTAAAATATGGCCTGCTGATAAATGTGCTAAACTGAATCTTGTCTGCTGTAGAGAGTAAATATAAAAAGAAATAAAAGTGGCTGTTTATAAGTTTGAGTCTGTCCACTTTGTTACTACAAAAAATATAGGATTAGGTGACAAAAGTGAACCGAGCAACTGAGAAGCAGCAATTAAACAACAAATCAGTAACAGCACATGTGACCTAAACATAAAGCCACTATTATTATATCTCTTCTTCTACATATACATACCTACCTATGGCAAGTTTTGCAGTATTAGCTCCACATTACTATAAAACTGAAAAGCCTTCAGAAACAAGCCAAATAATTTTCTTGGTAGAATAATGCTGTTACTTACTACTTATGATTTTGAAGGAATAAGTATAAGATATTAGTGTCATGGTTCCCTCTAATGAACCCAAACAAATCAGAACTCCAAGGGTTGTAAACTCCTCAAAGAACATGTTTTTTGGATACATAATATCGGCGCAATCAAAAGTGAAACCAACTCTAAAATTCTCAATGTGGATTCACTGTAACTAAATATAAAACTTCCATCTATCTATCTATCTATCTATCTATCTATCTATCTATCTATCTATCTATCTACTGTTTAAGATATATATATATATATATATATATATATATATATATATATATATACACATAAATACGCTGTTTAATTGGTATTGTGTGAATTGTTATACAGTTTATAATTTATATCAAATGCATACACTGAAAAGTATGCTATATACAGTATTCATTCCTCCAGTTGCAACCTCAACTGAGGTGGCCTATATATTTGATTAAATAATTATGTACACAAGCAATTATATAATTGAGAAATACAATTATTTGAATAAACAGTTTTCTCTTACACAGTTGAAGGAAATAAATGTTGGAGGTAGATTAACAATGTACTTGAATAGTCATGGTTTTCCAACAATTTGAAAGCAGCAGTTAAAGATGAAAACTTCATGATTTCAAACTAACTTTCTGACTTAATTAATGGCTTCTGGCAAGCATTTACATGTTAGATGTTTGCAGGCAATTGGTCTCTATTCATCTATAGAGACAGCTAAATATTGCTCAATCTAGCAAGTCCATTAATCACTTGTGATGATAAAAGATCTTCCTTATTGAGAAAGTAATAGCTGAAAAAGTGCAAAACTTTTAAGCTTACAAAATAATATGGTATAATGAATGTTCATTAAGTCCTAGAGGGTAAGTTTACAGTAAATCAAACCTGTGCCAGCTCAACGTACCTCACAGATTTTTATGAGGAACTAAACAAAAAAATAAGAATGCTATATATACTGTATTGAGCTCTTTTACAAAAAAGAATGCAAGATTAATTACTTGATTATCCTCAAATACTTACAAAAACAAACCTTTAAAATTGATTTTTTTTCTGAGTCTTGAAAAAAAATGTTAAATCTGATGGTTTAAGAAAGCAGAAAATGTTTATGATTTAAAATCAAAAAGTATAATTTTGCCCTTGCATTGTACTTCCTGATATAGACCATTTAAAAACAATTTTATTTCAAGTATGAAATAAAACAAAAATTTACTAGACATAATCAGGACATTCAACACATTATCACTGATCCTTATTAAAGTTTTTGTTAAGTGCAAAATTAAGTATAATATTATTTCCCCTTTAAAATTATAACTTTAAGCTAGTGATAGTAGTTATGTGGGACATAGGTTGGGATGGAAATTTGAAAATATATAAAATAAAATTAAGGAATTATTTCAGTTTACTAAATGAAATACATAATTATTTCTTGTGAAATATTGTATTCCAGTTTATAATAATTCTGAATAATGCTACCCTTTTAGTTCACAACAAAAATATTTTTAAAAAGAAATGAATATTTTAAGTAAAGGATTGATATTTCTTATTTCCATGTCTTTAGATATCTGACATGGGCACATATACTTGTGTTGCCACAAGTTCAAGTGGGGAAACATCTTGGAGTGCTGTGTTGGATGTTACAGGTAAGTTATACCTACGTAACACAGAAAAACAAAACAAAAATATAATAGGAAAAAAATAGGACATTCAAAACATTATCATTGATTCTTATTAAAATTTTTGTTAAGTGCAAAATTTAATATTGTGCAAGCCTTCTACACATATAAAACTTTTCTACTCCCCCTCTAGCTTTCTAGCTTCAAGACCCAGTGGTAGAAGCCATTGTATTGGCAAAAGTTAATTCAGAACTCCATAGACAGGTCAGCAAGCTTAAAGCACTGTCTATAATAACCATTGTGGCCCTTCAGTATATTGAGAAACTTCATATTTGTCCCTCCTAAAAACTCTGTACGTGGAAGGAAATATTAAGTCCAGAGACAATGGTGTCCATAAGAGACCAAAGTGACATCAACATAGCAATATATGTGGGATTATGTCATCACTCCCAAAGATGCAATTATATACTAATATTACAATATCTAATGCAAATGCGTAAGTCATTGAATTTATTTCAAATCATCACACATGTAAAATCATTTTGCAGCATAAGCTGATGCATCCATATTTTTTCACTTTGGAAAAGTATGAAGGGAGATGATTTAAAAGCAAAATGCTTTATGTTCAGTAGAACATATAAAGTCTATCCTTTAATTCAGGGGTATGAAACTGCCGGCCCACGGGCCAGATGCATCACAAGAAAACCGCATCCATCCCATTCCCGGCAATGGGGAAAAAGTTCCAATACATCGCATGACGTCATGTGATGTCACGAGTTTGACATGTCTGCTCTAATTAATTCCATTTTCCTATTATGAACAGTTCCCCTTTAAGATCTACCCAAAGAACGGGAAAATGATGGATCGAAAAAGTTAGTCCCACCCATCTAAGTGCTGTTTTAATCCTGATATCCCACAACAAGCGTAGAAGAAAAAAAATATTGTTTAAAACATGTTTTCTACCCCTCATTTAGCTGAATCTCTCATTATAGGAGAAAAATGTTATTATAAATGGAAGTAGTTGGAATATCTTTTTCTTTCTCTCTTGCTTCACCTGTTAATGTAGTTGAATGATAATGAAATGATAAGATATGTTATACCTCAAAAGTATTTTTAATATGTTGTGTATCTATTTAAAGCATTTTTATAACATAATTATTTGAATGTATATTTAAATCATTCTTTAGTAAACAACTATAAAGATGTAAAATATAACCATTTGCATTCTGTAGAATTTGGGGGAGCAGCAGTTAGCAAAAATTATGATTTAAATGATCTTCCTGGACCACCATCCAAACCTCAGGTCACTGATGTCACTAAGAACAGTGTCACGTTGTCTTGGCAGCCAGGCACACCTGGGAACTTACCAACAAGTGCATATATCATTGAGGCTTTTAGGTAGGTTAAAAAGTATTACTGTTATGACCCTTTGCACTTTCGAACAAAATACATTATAAAATTTTAGCTAATGTCAGAAATTTAAAAACATGGGTGCTTTTAATGTAATTAAATTTTATTTTGTTTTACATAGTTTTAAAATGTTTCGAACATTTGATTTAAACTTTCATATAAGTTTATAAGAATAAAACTTACAAAAATCTTTAAAATGTATTTTATCAACATGTTGATAATAGATGAAGGAGAAATAGGAGGCTTACTGTAAACATTTTTCAGTATTCTTTGCCAGTATCAACCAAATCTATTGTTGCAGCTAAATACAGGACTGATACCTCAATAATCACTTATCTTTTTTTATTCTTTTAAATTTATTCATTGATGATGTGGACTGAATATATAGAGAGCTATCTCCTGCTTACCTAACATTATTGTGTTACCTGATAAGATCTAGTAGGATGGACATTCCTATGGTTGAAGGACCAGGTTAGGGAGAGATCATTATGAAGAAATTTATCTATATGGTCACTAAGAGTTAACAATAATATGATGCCACATAATGAATCATATGTTAGGAGTTTTGTGCTTTTAATTGATTTAGAATATATCATACTTTCTGTTGTTCTTGACAGCGTATTTTATGATGTCTTTATTTGTCTTTAACAGCAGATAGAAACATATCCTTGACTATTTTTAAAGATATGTGATTGTAGCTATAGTATTCCAATTCATTTTCATTTCAGCCAGTTGGTGAGCAATAGCTGGCAAACAGTGGCTAATCATGTTAGAACAATTCCTTACACTGTGAGAGGACTCCGTCCAAATACCATCTACCTGTTTATGGTGAGAGCTATCAATTCACAAGGGTTGAGTGATCCCAGCACTATGTCAGATCCTGTCCGAACCCAAGGTAACCTGAATTTATTCCTCAAGCAGCCTATTTGAAGTTAATCATAATATGCAATGCATATGCAAATGCAGAAATATAATATCTGAATGTATACCCCTGTATATATAGTCTGGTATATATATGAGTGTATATTTAATATTTGTACATAGTAATGAGTACATATACATTTAGGATCACTGAATGACCAAAAAATAAAATTTGAAAAGGAAGGAATATGCAGGTGAAAAATGGGAGGCTATTTGCCCAGAAATCTCTTCTGTTATCAAAAGAAGCAGGCAGAATATCATGCAGCTAAGTAATACAACAGTTTCACTTTACTCTTCATAGAAATGGAGAACTGTGTTGCTTCATAAAGCAACTTTAAAGCATTGCTCTTTGCTCATAGCATTGTCAGTGTGATGCAGCCTTTTGAAACTAATCTACTAAATATATTATTTTTAAAGAAGTGAAATATAAGCCAAAACACAATTGACTGTGGCTCCATATGATGATCCATATGACTTGGCGACACAGTAATCTAAGCACAATATCATATGGAAAAACAGTTATACTGATAGACAACATATTTATCAATATCCTCCTGAAAGAAATATTCCATATTTGCAGTTCTTAGGAATTTAAATCTGCCTGACAAGTTAAAAAAATTCTATTAATTTTTAAATGTTATTTTCTTGCTTTATATATGTATTCATATTGGCCTATCTAATTTGAAATATATTTTATTGTAATTTCTGAAACTCTATAGATACTACCTGGATAGCACTACTACCAATAATCTTTGGGTAAAATATTTACACTATGTTTGTACAGAGTATGGTTACAGGAACACAAGGACTTTGTACAATGGTTACATCACATATGTGTAGGAGTTCAGTTTCCATAATTAAAGAGTAATTAATCAATTATAGAAGTTAATGAATACCTGGAGACCCACGTTTGCAAATAATTATTTGAGATCTTTATATTGTTATACAGTTATACCTTGGTACTCAACTGCTTTAAACTCATCAAATTTGATACTCTACGCATTTTGACTCAAAACTTTTATCCCAGTACTCATAGCTTGTTTGGTATTCATGCATAAGCTTAAACATGTCAGCGTCGGCTGCCCTGTGGCTCACTACATTATTCCTTATGGGAAAATTTTGTTTGGTACTCATCGTTTTTGGTACTCTTTGCACCTCCTGGAATCAATTAAAAATGAATACCAAGGTACCACTGTATTTAGAGGTTAGAAATGTCTTACAACATCTTAGCAGAAGCAGGATATCCAGACACTATTCAGTAAGGATTCAAGTCTTGGTATGGGACTGAGATTGCATTGATAACACTTTAGGATTACCTGTTTTAGAACTTAGGTTGGACTGGTGTACATCTCATGACCCTTGTAAGCCTCTTGGTGGCTTTCAAAATGTTCACAATAGTATCTGGCTTACTGCCTGCAGGCAATAGGAAATGAGTCATGTCCTCAATGGACATTTCAGTACTATTTGAAAAATAAATGACCAGTATTTATTAAAATAAATTTATATCTTATAAAAATATATAAATCAGAAGTGTTCTATCTGGACCAGAATCCAATCCCACTGCTCCATTATTTGACAATAAACTAATTTCAGTAAGAACATTTAAGTGAAGTTTATTATGCTTTTAATCATAATAATAAATTGATTTTTAATTGACTTTCCTTAGTAAGATAATAAGTTTTTGAGGCACATTTATATGTTTGACCTGGCAGATATCAGTCCACCAGCACAAGGTGTGGATCACAGACAAGTCCAAAAAGAGCTTGGCGATGTAATTGTGCGACTACATAATCCTGTTGTGCTTACCCCTGCCACAATTCAAGTGACCTGGACGGTAAGATATTTGAAAAATATATAGTAAAATCTCTGAACATTCTTAATGTTTTCCTTACTCTAATCAGTAATTGGAATGGTACTGTGATATTTTAATGGTCTCTGGTACTTTATATACAAGTAAACTAAGGGTTTTCTCTTGACCAGAAGTCTATTTTAAGATTTTAAACAGCATTCTCTGAGAATTCATTTTATTTTTAGAAAGTTGGTTTGGTAGATGGCAGAAAATACTTTTGGCATTCTGACTGCTGGCAAACAAACACTTACCACTCCTACTTTCTAATCTCTTTTACTTTATGTCCTTGGAAGTCATCTGAAAATATATATATTGTGCTGCTGCATATTTCCTATTCATCGGTTTAGAAAAAAAGAATACTTGACATAACTTACCAGTATTTTACTCTAAAAAAGTAGATTGTTTAATTTATAGCCCAAGAGCTGAATTGCTTAATAATTCTTCATTATTTGATACATGCTAACAATTTTATATGACCTTTCATTGTTTTCATTCCTGTTTTATTAGAAATTTAAAAGCAGATTACATGTTGGGAATAATTTTCTGATGAGGACTTTATTTCTTTGTGAACACAGGTAGTCCTCAATTTACAACAGTTCATTTAGTGACCATTCAAAGTTACAACGGCACTGAGAAAAGTGACATGACCGTTTTTTATAGTTACAGTCTTTGCAGCATCCTCATAATCATGTGATCAGAATACAGATGCTTGGCAACTGGTTCATATTTATGACCATTGCTATGTCCCAAGGTCATGTGATCAGTTTTTGTGACCTTCTGACAAGCAAAGTCAGTGGGGAAGCTAGATTCACTTAACAACTGGGTTATCAGCTCCAGTGATTCATTTAACAATGGTGGCAAAAAAGATAAATGTCTTAACAACAGAAATTTTGGGCTCCATTGTGGTCATAAGTCAAGGACTACCTGTAATTTACTGGGGTCCCATGGCAACTTTTGATTTATGTCTAAGCTTCTTTTCATGTAAAATTTAGATGTGTGTCTGTGCATATGTGCTGTCTTTATCAATGGAGCATACTCATAATGTCTCCCTGCGTGGTGCTTATTTTGAGTAAATACGTGTAAGAATCAGCAGGGGAAAATAATCTAGCAATTGTCTTTACTTGTTATTACAATTGTGTAAATGGACAGGCATAAGAAAGGAGTGTCCTTTTCTGATCCTGTGGAACAAACTGTCTATCCCATATAGGTGTAATTACTACTGAGATGCATTTTCTTCTTTTGCTTTTTCTTGCATTATGTCAACAGTAAATTGAGTTGTAATCCATATTTATAAACATGTGTGAAGTATAGTAAAAGTAGATTATATTAAAACAGTAGCATCATAGTAAAAATGATGATTAGCTAGAACAGTAACACATTAAAAGATCATTTGATTGAACAATTTTGTTCTGATTATGAGGTGTATATACATATATATATATATATATATATATATATATATATATATATATATATATATATGCCTTTTCTCATAATCAGAACAATATATATATAACTTTGAAAAACCCACTCAGTAATTTTACTCTTAAAATTAGGTAGCTCAACATTTTTCAAGTCTTTCAGTCTAAAATAGAGTCTTATTTCATGTTGAGCTACCCTAATAACAGGAACTTCCAGTTCTCATAGTGCAATTAGATGGCTATTGTCAGTTTGGCTCTTCTCAAATTTAGAGAAGATCTGAAAGCTATTTAAAACACCATTAATATTGTATGCAACAGAATGGCTAGGCTAAAACCAGAATATACCAAATGGAAAGTGAAGGAAATCCATGGATATATCCATAACTAAAGATAGTTAAGATGCTTCAGGATAAGATAGTAACTTTGAAATCTTACTCTTGCCTTCTCATTGAAATTCCAGAGGAGTCTCAGAAAGGCCAATGAGTTCAATTTATTGAAGCATGGATTCACAAAATGTTGGCTCTTTTGGAAGATTATAAGATAAATACGGAATCTGATCACTGTATTCCAGTTGCTTCTTTCCACACGTCTGATAATACCTCGCTATTTACTGAGGTTATTCAGATTTATGTGAGGAATAAAAAATTAATTATACCCAATATTATACATATAACTGCATAGAGAGATAAAATGTCTCACATTGTATTTTTTCTGATTTTATTATGGAGAATCCCTTAATACCAAAAATATTTAATCCTGTTAAAAATATTATTCAAGAGAAGAAACATCAGTACTTCAGATTTCAGCCATCGTATTTATGAAATTATCTAATGATACCCAGGAATCATTTCATAATTGTGGGAAACTGAAAAAAATTTATTTAAGATCCTATTTTTTTTAAAAAAATCTTTGCACAGAAGTTTTACTATTTCATGCATTCATATTCAGTCTTTAGATCTTAGCTATACACAGTTTATTTTCTAATATGATCTTCGATACAGGAAACAAATTATATATATATATATATATATATATATATATATATATATATATATATATATATATATATATATTCAAGAATATTGGTAAAAATGTGATTCCCAGGCATAATTATGAATAAAAGAATAAAATACGATCACCGGGAGGGTTAAAATAAGAATTCTTTACTAAAAATATACTTATACTAATTTATATATATAAATTATGCTCTTTTCTTTTTTTTTCTCTATCTCCTGGACCTCCTATAAATTGGATCATCTTGACTCCTTCCAATTAGGTTTTAGGCTAAGATGAATAAATAAGACAGTTTTGGTTCTGCCTGTAGATGTCTTGTAGTGGATCTTGGATGAGATACTGCATCACTGATTTGTTGACAGTCTTGAATTCTATCAAACATGATATCTTTCTGAACCTTATTACAGGCTTGGCAATTGAGAGCACTGTTTCTTCAGGGCTATTTCCAGTCAGTGTTGGTGGGGGAGAGCAGTCTAATCCTAGACCTCTGTTTTTCAAGTGCTTCAGGGCTGTCTCCTCTTCTCTTTAATATATACATGAAGCCACAGGGAAAGGTCATCTGTTGACATCAGGTTGTACGTATCTCATGAGGTTGTTTTTGAATGAACAAGTGAAGTTCTGTTCCAATGTTTGGAGGCAGAATAGGCTCTGGCTCAGTCTATCAAAATCAAGTAACTGTGGGTTTTGCATTCCACTGGAGAGATATCATCCTTTATGAATGGGATTGTGCTATTATATTTGGATTCAGTAAACAACATATGAAGGGCATGATGGTTCAGTGGTTAAAGACATTGAGCTTGTCAGCTGGAAAGCTGACAATCCAGATTCCAGACTCAAGTGCTATACAATGGGCTGAGCTCTCATTACTTGCTTCAACTCCTGCCCACCTAGTAGTTCGAAAGCATGCAAATGCAAGCAGATACATAGGTACCACTTTGTGGGAAGGTAACAGGATTCTGTGCACCCTGGTGTATTGGCCACATGACCACATAAGTGTCTTTGGTCAATGCTAACTCCCTCGGCTAAGAAATTGAATGACCACTGTCCCTAAAATTGGACACAACTGGATAGGGAAATCCTTTACATTTACCTTTATACAATTTAGGGATCTTTTGGGACTTGTAGCTCCTTCTGAAACAGCAGGTGGAAGCTGTTGCAGGGTGTGTTTGCACAATTTCATTTTGAAATTCAATTGAACCCATTCGTGGAAATCTGCTTGCAATTTTTCATGCCTTAGTCATCTCTGAATTAGATTATTCCATTGCGTTCTACAGGAGGTTGCCTTTGAAGACCAATCAAAAACTTCAATTAGTATATGGTCAAAAGGCAACTGGCCTATGTTTTTCATTGAAGACATTTTGCTTCTCATCCAAGAAGCTTCTTCAGTTCTGGCTGAGTGTTGGAGGATGGAAGGATTTATATTCCTTGCAGTCATCTGCTTGTTATAACTAATAAGGCCCTATGCTGCAGGATCATCTGCACCGTGGGATATTTGTCCATCCTATGTGCTTTAACAGGAAGGACACATTCCAGATTTTATTTATGAGACTTTATTTATTTATGAGACTTATATACCGCTTTAAGTGCAAGCACTCTCTAAGCGGTGTACACCAGTAAGCAATGTATATATATATTTACATTGCCCCCAACAATCTGGGTTCTCATTTTACCTACCCCGGAAGGATGGAAGGCTGAGTCAACCTTGAGCCGGTGAGATTTGAACCGCTGACCTGCTGAACACAGTCAGCTAAAGTGGCCTGCAGTACTGTTCATCCTGTGTTTTGAAACAGTCTTCTCTCGATTGTTTGGCTCTAACCTTGCAGGTCTTTAGAAGGTAGTCAAGATCTGGCTTTTTCTTCAGACTTTTACATCAGGATGTGTAGAGTCCCAATTTGGGTGAATTGCAGTATATTTTAACGCTGGGCATCATTTTATTGTTTTCTGTAACTGGATTTAATGCTGTTGTTTTCTTTGGGATTTTGAACGTCTGTTTTTTTAATGTAATATAAATGAATATTGCATAGATCCTTTTTTCTTTGTTCACTGTTTTGTAATTGTAACATAATTTATACTACCATCCAGAATATGTTTTTTCTCAGACGTTGCCTGGATTTTGGCTTTCCTTTTCTATTATAGTATCTGTCTTATATTACAACTTTCCAGCCAAGATTCATATGGCAATTGAATGGTCTTGACCCTGCTGGCCTTTCCCCAGGCATTAAGGCCAGGATGTTAGTTAAATCCTGGCATGGCATCTTTTCTTGTGTTGTTAGACAGATTAATAAGGAGCCTAGCATAGTTTTTAATGGGTTCCATTTGTTTATTGTGCTTTTGTATTTATATTATTTTGTTCACTCAGAATTGTACTACTTAAGATGAGTGATCATATAAATTTATAAAATTAATTGATAATGATGACACCTATAACTTAGCAGATATAAGATAACTGCTAAACTGCTTTCTAGTGTTCTTTCTGCAGCACATTTTATCATTTGCTGCAAATGTTAGTTTCAATAACCTGGTAAGCAGAATGTTTTTAGATATATTTCA